CCAGTGAGGTCATTAGGTGTCTGGCGTATATAAACAGGAACAAATCCTGCCCTTTTCCAGAACTTTAGCAAATTTTGTGTTAAACCATAAGAAACGCCTGAAATGCCGATGCATCAGAAATCAGTAGAAGGTCCTTCCAAGAACTCTTTGTAATCAAAAGGCACCATTGAACTTACTCAGATAGTCAAGAGGCTCAGGCTTTCTTTCATTCAACCTGAGTAACAGTGGGGGTAAATCTGTTCTCGGAACGACAACTTCTTCAAGTAGCACAACGCTTTCAGGGTTCTCAAACAGAATTGCTGTCAAACTTCGGAAGTAGGATGTGCACCATATTTTCCCACTTTGTTATTTTGGTTCGAAAGCTTTTCGGACAGCACTTACCTCCACAACTTTGGCTTTCGTGATATCTTCAGACTTCTCTTTTTCTAGAAGACATGGAGTTGCTCCTTCGTAATACTCTTGAAGTAACTGTAAGGCCCGTGTACCGTACCCCATAGCTGTATATAACCAAAAAAAAATTAGCCGTCGAAAATGACAGCAAAAACCCAAATCAATGCATACAGACTCTGAAACATCTTAGTAAAAGCTTTCTTTGACTTACACTGAAAATCGGGATGAACAGCAATCCGAACGATACGACCGCCAGTTAGAGAAGTGAAATCGGTATCCTACCAATTAAAGAAGTCACGTGAATATAATCAACGCCCAACAAAGAAACCTTACATGTGAATTTAAAAACGGAAAAAAAGAAAAACAAGATATTAGAGGATAAAATAATGCAACTAATGCAGGCAAGAACTTCCCAGCCAAAATTTGTGGTCTAGCAAAGCCGATTCAAGATGAAGTGTCGGTCCATAAATTGAAAAGGAATTTAAAAAAAAGATTTATTTTTTACAGTCCGATAAGTATGAAACACTTCAATATTATGAACCTTACTCCTCAAAATTACCTCTAAAAAGAATTTTTTATGATGGCAATTCCATCTGCTCATAGATTAAACAAATAAAAATTCACGTTTCCTTTACTTTTGAACGCCCAGCAAAGAAACCTCGTGTGTGAATTTAAAAACCGAATGAGAATTTGAAAAACATAAAAAAGAAGTATGGATTGTAAGCGACGTGAGCGAAGAATTGACTATTGCGGATCTAATTTCTATTTAAAATTTTATTCTGTACTGCAGTTTTTTCGTAGATACTAAAAACAGCACCACTGATGGCCTTCAGATAGGCACAATTTTTCTTGAAAAAAAGAGAATAATCCTTTTTATCGTAAACTATAAAAAGTTAATTTACCATGAACTGCTGGTTGATAGTCCACGGGACTAAGTCACCTGCCGCTCGTCTACCACGCTCTGAATTCTCGGAAACCTTAGACGACGATAACGCCCCTTCAATGCAGACTTGTATCACGACTAACACCTATCAACATCAATTCGTTTCACACTCATAAAAATAGACTAAGGGTGATAAACCAGCAACAGGGTGTGCAGTGATTTATGCTGATCCATAATAAATGAAAACTTCTATAACGCTACGAGTAAAAGCGGGTAGCTATTACGATGAAGTAAATCCTTAATATATTACTTAGCTTTATGGCAAAAGTTCTAAAAATCGTAACTAACTTCTGGCAAATTCACTTGTGCTTCATCGATTGGTCCTATTAAAACAAAAAGATGATGTGCAGGAGCGTCAGAAAGCATCTAAAAATAAAGTAAGGTAAAAAGATTACAGTAATTTTAGAAACACTTCCTATGAAACTTACTTGCAAATCATTGGGAGTATTCTTATAATGAGCAGATACATAAATCGACATCAAACTATGTAAGAAAGCTTCAGACGCCTTGTGAAAAGAAAATAAAGTGTCTCGATTAACATATAACCTGAAAAACATTATTATATGATCTTTTTCTTATGAATTTAAAGAATAATTAAAATCTGCAAAGCGTCTTACAATTCACAGTCTCTGGGTGGTGGGAGTCCACTAACTAAACGGTGTGAGCTCGAGGCATCGAGGCATAATAGTCGATTCAGCCAAGACTCAACCTAAAAAAATTAATAAAAAGTTTTGAAAGAAGTTATTCCTATAAAAAAACCACAACAGCAAGCTCCTACTTGGTCTCCAGGTTTATATCTGATACTTTCCTCCAACTTGATTTCGAATAATTTGCGACCTTAAATGAAACAAGTTTTAGAGTTAAGAAATCTCTCTTTGCATTGCAGTAAAGACAGTATATACTGAAGTGGAAGTATAATGGGACAACGAATGAAAAATAAGATTATTGACTTTTCAGGCCGAAATTTTTTTCTCCTTTTTCGCTTTTAATAATGCCCGCTGCCTGCTCCCTCAGCTGCTGCAATAACTTTAACGAAAGTGATCTTCCCGTTCCTTCGTACCCGTTTATTGTTGAAGAAAGAAAAGAAAGATACGGACCTGTAATATACTGGAAAATCCACAAAAGAAAGAAAAAAAACAAAAACTTCAATGATTGGAAATAACTTCACCTAAAAAATAAAAACTTTCAAACCAAACTGTGTTAAAGCTGAAGAACGTGGTAAAAACAAGAAGCACCTGATATTAGATCTTTTACTATTGGTAGCGGGATCGCCGCTGCTTCGTCTATGACAACCAACTCTGCCTGACTCAATTTTGCAGAATCACGCGCATCGATGTACTAAAAATACGAATACGGGTTTTTAACACATCAACCTACCCCTAAAAAAGCCTTTCAAAGAGAATTTAAAGGTAGGAACTTTTGCTACCTGTACTGTTTGCCTGTGACTTCCAACCTGGGTTCTTTGACCTCTAAACACGTTGATTCTAACCAGTGCTTTCTGAAGTTCTGGCTTAGTTGACTGTAAAAGTTCAAAATCGATATGCTCTTCATAATCCATAGCCTAGAAGGACAAAGTGATAAAAGAGCTGCGCGTCGTCTGATATGCGTAAAAACTTGGCTCACATAAAGCAGAAGAACATACCTTCAAACCTCTAATGATAAATTCAAACAACGTTTTTAAATTTTCAGGGGCAGGACTCGTGACAAAAATGTTGGAATAACCAAAACCGATAGCGCCCGCGATAGCTAGACCGAGAGCTGCCGACTTGCCTCGGCCTCTTGCTGCTGTGATAGAGCAAGTGGCTTGTAAAGATTGCTCCGTTATCACATCTAGCAGCCGCAGTAAAGCCTGGATATGGAAAAGCATAGAAAGATCAACTTACTGACAAAGTTAAAAGCAAAAAAGCTATGACTTACATACCTTTGCTTGGCACACAGTTCTACACTGCTTTAAAAGAATTCCTATGGGCTTTGCCTCTGCCATAGAATCTTTTAATGCGGTCAGTTCCTCCGATTCAGCGGTCGAACCAATCTAAAAATCTCTGGGTAAACACGGTTTGCTATAATTTTCGAAAATCTTAACGAATTTTCTGTATTATCATTTTCATCATTTTCATGTAGGAAATTTTTAGGGCCAGAACAGGTAGGAAGAACGCAAATTAACAATTAAGCTAATTTTAAGTTGAAAAAAGTAAGAAATTACTGGAATATTACTTTTGCGTCGGCCGAAAGAGGTTCAATTTTTGAGACATGTGAAGAAAGAGGTAGGACATTCAGCCTATCATCAACGACTGCACAATTCCGACAACTAGTAAGGGAGAGAATAAAGCGTTCATTAAATCGAGCAACAATTTCGGTATGAGAATCTGTCCGGTACCTCTTGTGCACATCCTTAAAATTTGAACTTTAAAAACTACAAAGTAATTAGAGCCGGCTTTCTATACAATTGATAACCAACCATAGTCATGGTATAAAGCTGTTTTAACGAGCTCACAGTCTTTAACAAGAACACAATTACGCCCCCGCCTTCTATAGTCTCGATGGTTCGTGCGAGTAAATTAGGTGTCAAAGCTTCAAAGTCCTAAAAAATAGTCTTAGGCCTCTTAAGTCTTACTAAAGCACACGAAAGTGTCAATTCATTAAAAAAACGGTACCTGAAGCACAAGCATTCCGAAAGTGTTGCCCAAAATTTTGTGAGTTTCCGAATAGTAACAGTATCTGATGTGAGTTGACGAGATAAATAAATCAAACGGATCCTCCTGTAACACGGTATCACAAGCGAAAAAACAAAATTACCAAATGCATATAAGAAATTAATTACCTTAAAGTTTCCAACTTTCATCTTTTTCTTTATTTCTTTCATGCGCTTCTTTCGATGACTGGAAAACCCTAGTTCTTTCTTATAACACCAAAGAACAGTCGGACGTGCAGCAACAGTAGCTTTTGACAGGATATGATGCAGAATAACAACCTAATGTAACAAATATTTTCAAACTATGAGTTTAGCATTACAGGTAAACAGGGAAGTGACACAGTACCTGATCTCTTCCTTTATCACCAACAATGACAAACATCGTTCTATGTCCAGAAGCTACACCATTTTCAATAAGGACTCGAACGCGATTGTCTAACTTCGTGCGAACCATCACGCTGTTGTTTACAGTAAACTATAGGGTACCAAATCCTGTTTCTTAACTGTCCCGTTATCGTTCGGTATAGTTTCTAAGCTACTGATACGGCGACAACTGTTAAGTTCAGCGTCATTCTAGAATACTTAAAGACGACTCAAATGTTGACATTAAGAAGCCAAGCTTCGCCCGTAATTAAGTGGGCTGATTAATATAATTAACTCAAGCGTAAAAAGAGGTTAAAAGGAGACTGAGATTTCTCCGGTCTATAATAAATAAGAAGAAAAACCAGCTTCTACAAGATTCTTTGTTTGCACAATAAACATTCACCATACAGCCAGTTGCTCATTTATCCAGCTGTTTGGGCTGACGATCACTCGGAACTCAATAATTGCTATTCTTAAAGTTTCTACTTTTTGGGTTTATAAGAGTGATTTTTTCCTGGTTGGCTAAATGCCAACCATCAATGGTCACTGCGATTTTTTTGGAACACTCGAATCGGTGTAGAAGGAAAGTGGATTTTGAAAAGGAGAGTCGGAAGATGAGAAAACCATAGGGGCAGAGTTCAAACAATACTTCTGAAATTTACATGCAAGATAATTTGGCTTGCTTTTTTGTTGTATCTTTAATTTTTGAATTGTCAAAATATAGCAAAGGAACCACTACTTGGTCGTGAACGGTGGAGTGGTTGTGGATTACTGCAAGATATTTCAAAAACGGTTTTACAATACTGAATAGAGAACACGGAAAAGTGGATTCTCTAACATACTGGCGAATAAAAAAATTTAGGAATTCCTCAGGATTTTTAACAGAAGCGTGTTTCTGTAGTCCGTCACCTTACTATACAATTGTAGAGTTTTCCTTGGCTTAACGTCACTTCAAAATCTGCAGTCTTTTGCTTTAAAATTTCAGGAAAACACGCTGTACAACGACAAATTTTTCAGAATTATGAAGTTTTATTGTATTATTAAAGGCATACCTTCAAATCAGATAATAATACATTAGGGTCTGACTTCTATTAGCGAAACATGTATTAGTTGTAATATGTTCTGCAGCAATGAGCAAGAGCCTTTCAAAGAAAGGTAAAATTAATCGGTGCTGAAGCGAAGAAGAGTTTTAAAATTTAATTGTTGCTAGCATCACGGTCTGCCCACTTCTTAAAATCCATTCTTAGGTTAACGGTCTCCACCAATAACCAAAATTTACAAAAAGAAAGATAGAAAAATGGACAAAAATAGTGCCCTGTAACGACATGATATAAACTTTATTTTGCAACTGAAATAATTTTTCCAACGTCATTAACATCTCCTTCAGCTATATATGTAGTGCGACTGAGATGATTGTTTGATCAGTATTTAATTTGTTTAACAGTCTTGGATGCGGATATAGAAGAATGATTAAAAAAATGAAAAATTTTTTAAAAAGGCTGAAAGAAAAATTTTTACAAAAAATCTTAGTTTATCGTTGAGCTTCACTGCTACTAATTTGTTAACACTGAACATATAATTCGGAAGCTTTGAATGAACTTAAATAAATGGTAATCAATGTTAGAGATAAGGATTTATTCAATTTTTGAATCAATCTTTCAAGAAATGTAATCGGTGAGTTTGTGCATAATTGGGATGCCACAAATCAACTATAATTACGAAGAAAAGTTGTAATATACAAGCAAATTCTCAGTTATCAACGATTTTTTGTCGATGAATCCTAATCAAACTGATTTGACTAAAACTTTCAAACTTGTCTGGATCCTTGGAAGAAATCTCGTGAAAAAATCTGCTCTAAGTTTTTCATTTTTGGACGACAAATGATTTGATGAAAGTTTTGAAATAACAACATAGCTGATTATTCATGGTTCTTCTCAACTGAACAATTAACAATTGTTTCCACACCTACCTGCTAATGGATTTTAGTTAGTTCGATCAAGTTGAATATTCTTCGGAACTGTTACACGAACAATCATATTCTTAGAGCTTTTTAATCTTAAGTTTTTTTCAATAGCAATTTTTGCCATTTTTTACCATAAAAATTTAAAAAGATAAACATACATTTGCAGAAGAAAATTTGCTTTACTCTTTTTTTCTTGCTCAAAAATACAGAAAATATATATTCCTAGAAATACAATTTACTTTCGGGTTACCATTTAAAAACAGGCTATAACACGGAGGGTATATTTCATATGTCCGCTTTTTTTCCTCATTCTTTAAACTAGCACTGTTCTGCGTAGTAAACTTTTCTTTCTCTTGTACAATTTAATCACTTAAAAAATTAACTGAACACTATTTATCAGTCACTGAAGCCAAATAAAATGCCATAGAATTAAACAGAAATGCTTTTTTTAGCAAAAAAAACATAAAAATGCAGCTTTACTATAACAATTTTTTTGTTTGTTGACACAATTAGCAGTTAAACTTGAATGTGCAGTAAGTAGATGAAAATGCGGAAAGATATGGTTTACATCGGTAAAGAACTGAAAACAAGTGTTGATTTTATAATGCTGTCGATGAATCATGGATCCTTGTGATGATCCAGCTTAAACTAAACATTTATTGTTCATGTTCAGCTAATTGAAAATGGTTCAATTTACGCCT